ATACTTGGAGAAACTGTTTCCACACAGTACGTTCATATGATTTAATATAATATGAAATTATACAGATTTCAAAGAAATAAATATAAATCTCTTAATTTAGATTTATTATTTAATTGTTATAATTTCTTTCTTATCAACCTTATATTTTATTCTACAGAGAATATTATGACTTGATGAACGGGTTGTTAGTGCTTCAATACCTAATGGAAAGGCAAAGGGTACCAATATTCGAGAGTGTATCAGTTGCCCTTCATTGTACGTCCAAGGTAATGGCTCTGATCAATGAAAAAATGTATCAGAATGAGACTCGGTTTTTCATCTGTTTAACTTGTGGTTAAACTTAACGTGCTATTTTATCCAATAGGCTTCATTCACGATATTATCATAGATGAAGCCCATTCAATAAAATATCAGATTAAACCACAAGTTAACCAGACAATGAAAAATCGGACCTGAATGATTAATATGTATATATACATGTATATGCTATGTATAGATGTTACGTGAAGAGATCAATGTGCAGGATTGCGTGAACACCGAGGATGGCATCAAACCTATAAGAATCTCGCTTACTCAAAATGGAACGGATGTAGTGTAAGTTTCTATTCAATGTAGTCGCCTATTTACATTATATGTATGACATAGGTTACTGAGTGATAATTGCTTGTTTTATATATATATATAATTATATATATAAGGTAATTTGAAAACATATTAATGAACAATAAGCCAGAATTAAAACAAGCAATTATCACTCAGTAACCTATGTCTGGAAATATGTAATAACCTGGCGATGTCTAATTAACATTGTGACATGAAAGTGGTAATGTTTAAAAATTAAAGAATTAAAATCGTAAGCATAATAGATCAATAAACAATGTTGGTTTTTATTCATAATATTTCAATAAATAAAAAAAAATTTAGAAAGATCAAGAATTATATTCTTTCGAATTGTTTACATTTAAATGATTGGAAATAATTACAATGATTTGACATTATTCCAGTTATCAACTTCATTTGTATATTGACAAATTGATGTATTTCTATAGCGCTTGTTTTCATGTTGGTTACTAAATGATCAAGATGTTTACATCGTAATTAGATGCATTCGATAAATAATGCAGCATATTTGAATATTAAAGAAAGAAAATACAAGAATGTAATTAAATAAAAATTGTTTGTTTCGGTTTTTACCTCCAAAAATCTCTCAAAATGTTTCTTAGCATGCATATAAATAAGAAAAAAACAAAGAGTATTTACAAACAATTTATAAAGAAATTTTGTTTACATGACAGAAAATTGCGGGAAATTTTCAAATCTATGGACGTTAATGATAGTGGCACAGTAAAATTGGGGGAAGTATGTACATCTTATCAAATTAAGTTTCTTAAAAAAATCATCAAACTTAATATGATCTTTTTATTCCAGGCTTGGATGATGTTACAGTCAAGCACAATGTGTAACAATTTGTCTCTCTTGGATCTGCTCAACACAGTAAATAAGAAGTCCGGTAATGCTTGCGTATTATATTTTTATGGCGTTTAACAGATTCGTGTTTTGATAGTAAAAAATATTAAAGTACGATATATTCGCTGTGCAGAAATCTATAGGACATTAATAGATGGATTTCCGGCAAAAGGTGACCCAACCGAATTGCGAATAAATTTCGAACAGTTCTGCGTTTTAGCCAGTGAATCGTCATGGATGCGGATGAAGAGTAATGGCATCTCTTGCGAAAGTGAGATACCTTCAGTATGGAATATATTATGTAGGAAGACCTCAAATTTCTTGCGCCGAGTTTTCGTACATCCCTTTAATCGTTTCCTAGGTATTTCTGATTTTCAACAATTTCCCACGATCTTCAATGAACTCACTGTCTACACTTCTCGCCTGAATCTTCCATTTTCTCATTTCCCAAAATTGAGCACTCGATTTTATCTATTTCGTAAAAATTAGGTAAAAAACGAAATTTCTTTTAAACTTTTAAATCAAGATTTAAACTTTTTCAGATTGGACTAATTCCTTCGTACAAGAGTTCGAGAAGAGAGACATTTATGTTGGCGTAGTCAGTAAAGATCTGTTTTGGTTAGAATCTTCTGCAATACCGTTGATAGAGTGAGCATCAACAGCTTAGTGATAATTACCTCTCACCGAGTTATGCCTATATCAGATTAGAGATTGAGATTGTATTTAACCGATCAGAATCAATTATCACGAGTGCAATCGCACAAGTGCCTAAACAGAATAAACATCGTAAGAAAATAAATAACCTAATAGAATTAAGAAATAATAATAATTATATATATATTATATAGTAAAACATAACATGTATTAATAACACGATCCAATTGTATGATCGGTACAAACAACCCAATCGCAGTAATTGTTATTGGGAGAACATGTGCTGATTCGACAAAAACGCTCTATCAGCTACGCAAGACCATGAGGTCTAAAACCGAGGGAAAGAAGCAAGGACAAAAAGTAACTTGTACATCTATGATTACGTTTGTCAACAGGTCAATTGTAAAAATGTTAAAATTCAATTGTAAAACAACACGGACAAGTACAGTTAGAGTTTGATTGAAGTTAGTTCAAGTTAACTCCAAAATATTCAATTCATTCCATGCCCTTGCGAATCTTTTAATCCTGTGCCGATCACAATATCAAATTCACAATATCAAATTTAGCGAATTTTGCTTTGATCGGTCAAATTCAATTTCAATCTCAATCTCTGAGACGGGCATTAAATATGATTTCATTTATTTGCGATTTTCCAGATCAATGAGGTTGTCTCTATATCGACCAAGCTTGAATGAATACAACGTAAGAATATTGCCGCAAGAATTGCAGAAGATAAAGAATTCACGACTGATCCTATTGATAGTGCCGCAGCATTCGCGCGGCATCGCCATTATGGCACTGGCAGCTCATTTGATTGGACTGCACGCTAAGCTCGTCCTCTGTGTTCAAATTCTTCCTGAGGGTTCTATTATATCTGATGAACAAGTATGATTGATATTTTACATCCCTCCTTTTTTCCAACACACACGCATACATACATATACATACACAACACAGAATTAACAATCAAATTATGTAAGTCTTCTGAATAGTCGCCGCGATCATATAAAGATCATGACATCATAAGCGAGAAATGACACAATAAAGTTTCTTGCATGTTATTTATAAACAGGGAAAGTTTAGGTAAAATAAAATAATGAGATCGTTTTAAAATACTTATAAAAATGGATTGAAACCCCTCTCCCCCCTCCTTGACAATTAGTAAATAGTCATAAAAGAAAGTGAAAATAGGCTACGCATTGAGTAAACGCACCTCACATGCCTTTTACAATTATTTGCTAACCGCCGAGAGGGGGGTAATAGCCAATACGGCCACAGCGACTACTCAGGAGCCTTAGGACTAAATCATTCTAGCAAATTAAACTTCAAGCATCATATAATTGCAATTAATAATGAAATTAACTTCTGTACAATATTGCAAAGTTATAATCTATGATACATATTTGTTTTTATAAATATTTGTAGGAAAATTTTTTTTTTAAATTATAATAGTTGATATTATTTTCTTTTTATTCATTTAGTTGACTGAACAAGCCCGAAAAGATTACAACCGGGGGAGGATGTACCTGTCGGACTTCGCAACGCGTGAAGGTGTACCTGTTTTTCAGAATATCGCTGATGCTTTACAACATGCGATACAATTAGTTCAAAATCCTTGTTGACCTAAGTGCTCTTTACTGTTTTTCTTTTTTCTATTTTTTTCACACAGATAAGCTCATTAGTTTGAGAATTAATTTATTTTTATTCTTAACCGTGTCCAGCTACCATTTGAGATCAATACGTATACCATAGGTATAATGATGATAACGTATTATCATTATTATATCTATAAGAAGCGATTGTGTTAGTTACAGCAATTCATTATCGTTATTGGCTGCTTTTGCTAATAAGATTGCTTTTTCTCATAATGTTTTTTATCGTTAATGTCTCATCAATATACAGTCGCGTATTATTTATGCTCTTTTCATTAATAATGTTGCTTGTTTACATAGTATTATTACTATTATCATTTTTAAGTTCTTGACGAAATTAAAACATGTGCAATCAAGACTTTATTTCTGTCGAGATATTCTATTTATCGTAAGTATTTGTCATGAACACGACATTTTTGAAGCAATTATTTTTACTTTGTTGACCGTTACACACGATCCTTTTATTTATTTTATTTTATAAAAAAAAATATATAATTTTACATTGGTTTAATGAATCGAGTAGCTAACCATTTTACTATATGCCCTTCTCTTATCGAATAACGTTAAATCCTTATTTAGTTATCATAGATTAATAGAAAAAACAATCTCTCACGGTAGATGGACAATTTTTCTCTCATTTTTTAAATTGTAACTTAACGTTCGCAATTTTTTGTAACCTTTTGGTAATGTGGTTGAGGATTGATTTGATATATATGTACATAAAACTCATTGTTTCTAACGATCTAATCAAATTATTAACTTTTGGAATCTGATAAAAGAAGGATGCGAGAGAGAGAGAGAGAGAGAGAGAGAGAGAGAGAGAGAGAGAGAATGTGTGGAATTGCTTGTATTTTGAATGCGTGATGCGTATTTCAGCTGAGTACATACCGATATGCATGCATGGAATATCATGAATATGCGTGATACATTTCAACCCACACAAATATGAAATTTTAACTGTCAATGATAATGAAAAATTTCAGTATAAGAAACTGTTGTCTTATCCAAATCAATGTACAACGTATAAATGAATAAGTAAGTAAAAAAGAAAAAACAGAACTAGTTAAAACGAGATATTAGAGCTGCTGCACACACTTTCCATAACAGTAACCATAAGACGTACCTTAAGAATTAGCCAATCAAGAATTAATCAAATTTTTAGCTCTGATTGATTAAAGCTAGAAACATAAAAAACGTGAATAGTAAGCGAACTGACCAATCACTACTTCACGTTCTCTACTGTGATTGGTTGATTCGCTCACTGTTTAAGTCTTATTGCTTTACGATTTTTTTATGTGTTTCTAGCTTTAAAGATTATTTATACTAGAATAATGACTAATTGACTTCATTCTGCTCACATTCGATTGTGATTGGTCAGTTTCTTACAGCTTAGCATAAATTAACAGTTTACGGCCAATATAAATGATCCTTAAGGGGAATCTAAAGATGATTAATCATAGTACAAGTAGAACTTCACACAATTTACAGACAATTTACGTGTCACTGACACATCACTACATATTACTACATCAATATCATGGTGGAATAAACAAGGTGTACCATTCCCGTGGTTGCGCAGTAGCCAATGGGAAATTTGACCCGAAATGCAAAACACGAATAAACGAAAGAACACGATTTCGGGTCAAATATCTCATTGATTTCCCCACCTTAGATTACCCCCGCCATTCACAGCCAGGATGCGCAATGGTATACCTTGTTTATTCCACCATGATCAATATCTCACGTATATAAATTTTCGTATAACAATGACATTTTAATTAGGCCCGGTTGTATAAACATTACTTGACGAGATTTAAACGAGACTTAAAACTCTTTCTGTCTCATTTTCAAGCCAAAAGTGTGACAAAGACAGAAAGAGTTTTAAGCTTCGCTTAGTCAAAATAACTTTGGTGCAATTGGGCCTTCTAAGTCCAATTCTAAGAACTACACGCTATTTCTTCGTACAAAGTATTAGTCTGTGGACTACTATTTCGTAAGAACACAGATTGCACAGCTTTTATATGAAGCAAATGGGTGATTCTTAGTAGAACTAACTCAAGTTCGAGTTAGTTCACGGAGTAATAAGAAAGGAATAAAATCTCTGCAATTTACTTTGGATTCTGCAGCGGCAAAAAAATTCGTGGTCCTTCTGTCGCTGATAACCTTGTTTTTCCGGTTGTGGTGGAGATGGAAGTGTGGTATTCACAATTGAAACACTGTCGAAGTGAAAATAACGCGTGTTGAAAAAGACTCACATCAGTAAAAAATAAAAAGTAAATATTATGGTAAAAAGATGCTATACTGTATTAACTTGTACCAATGGACAAACAAGTGCAAAAAAAAGAAGTCTTTTCAAAGCACCGAAGATTAGTTTTAAAAGTTTGTAAGGTAATTGTTGAGTTTAGCCTCTTCACCTCCGATGTTGACAAAATTAGGCTCATTCCTATCCATCTTATTGATGCTTTGCTTGTCGAAAAACAATCAGAAGTATCAGAATACTAGAGAAAGAGTATGACGATAATTTCTGACGGAACTTCCAAAGTTGAGGGTATCGATCATGTAATTTTTTCCTTAGGGCGAAAGTGTGAAAAGTAAAAATTTTTCGTTTTTGTATGTGTGTAAATTATATAGTACTCGCTAAAAGTTACGGGCGACCTAAATAATTTCTAAATGGTCCGAGATATAAGATTGAAATTTACAGGAATACATAACATATAATGCACGTAACGTAAACTAGCATTTTCAGCGCCGACAGTAAATTTGGAACACAGCTCAAGTAGAGTACAATAATAAGGAGCTTTTGTAATACGGTAGATCCAGATAGATGAACGCTAAAGTCACGTTATTTGTGCAAAAGTCGAACCCAATTATTACTCGATCTGACCAGACCCGTATTTTCGGGTACCCACACAACCCTACTTATTGACTTATTAATATAATTGTTTATCATTATTGTTTATTACATATTTTTATTAATTTACATTTACTTTACATTTTATTAATTAACGAAGTTTTGTAAAAGTAATTTCGTATTATATATATTTACAAATTTTATATTTATTCTTTTATCACATTTTATATTTATTCTTTTATTATTAATCAATGTTATATTTGAATATCGCGTTACTATTTAGTTAGGACCAAAATTTTATTGCTAGCTGATTACTCTAAATTATCGTTATACGCGTTGTCTCACCTGTTTTCTTCCACCATGGTTTGAAGAAACAAATGAGAAAAGAAAGGAGGCTCCAGAAAAAAAATCGTTTATTATATTCCTTTGCATGAATATAATATATACTCGTACACATAATTTATTAAACATTTTTCTTTTCGGAATAAAACAAAGCTATTCCATTTCTCACGCGTTTTCTTTCAGCATCTTTTTTGAACGAGATCTTAATATATTATCTGTCATATGCGACAGTGAGTAAAAATTCTCAAAATTCTTATGCTCATTTAATAATCGTTACGATTATGTGATCCCATTGGAGTGAATTAAAGATACTCGAAATACGTTTAACGTTATACGCGTAAATAAAAACTTAGATAAGAGCCTCTGCATGAAATTATACGCTTATTGTTATACATTACCTTTTGATCGAAATGAGTTCAAACGAGCAATCGCACGAGTGTCTGCATGTAATATTATCGGTCAGATAAGTGATTTATTCAGTTTTCAGTCTATTGTCCTCGTCATTTTTACTTTCTCTAAGATCGACCTTTTTTTCTGTGTTATCCTTTCCAGGAAAATAGTACCTTCGTATATTCTTGAGAGATAACAACACCGGTATCATAGCCGGCAGAAATAGGGGAATGTACACGGCGTACCTGTAATATCATAAAATTATTTATTATGTAATTTAAAAAATATATGCTGAATTTTCGTAATGCTTTCTGTTGATTTTATATGAACCCACAAAGAGGAATTAAATATTATCTCTTTTTTTATGTTACATAGACGTGGATCGTTTCAACTATCTCAAGTAAAAAACAGTTTTTCGTTTCAGATAAAAATATTTCATAATTCAATTAATCTCATAAGGGCCATAGCACACAAGAATATATTACTTCTAGGAAATAAAAATATCAACATGAAAACACGTATCTGCACAGCGAATAAGGAGTGTATCATTTTATTTATTACAGTAATTTTAAGAACAAAATTGCAAAATTTGGCTTTTTAGCAGGCTTTATAGCTTCGTAAAATATAAGCCTAAACGAGTTTCATAGTAAAATATTTCTTCTACCAGATGATATATGGTAGAGTCCAATAGTATGATGCCTTTGACAGTATTATGGCAATAGTTCAACGTGCAGCACGCGATGTTGTTCGAAGGGAGGAATTTTGTGTACGAGAGAGGATGCCATTTCGTAGTTCTTGCATTAAAAGATGAGAGTGGAATAGGCCTATTGGGGAAACCACTATAAAAAAAGACGCACCATGCTATTTACCGCAGGGTGGTGAGGAAATGATAGCGCTCTGACATTTTTTCATTATTTCCACTTTTTTAAAGATAATTTAAAATTAACTTACTTTTGATCCTCTGGAAAGTAAAGAAGCGCCAAGAGTGTTGGGTCGGAAAAAGCCGCCTCAGAGATGATAAAAGCTTCTTTGCTGAGGATGAAACTACGTTTGAGATCGCCTCGTCGCAGATGCTCAGCAGATTCATGCACTAGCCCAAGAGCAGTCTTGATTCTGTTTCCTACTACGTCCGTAATAACGATATTGCTAATTTCTTTGAGTAGTCGCGCCAGTGACTGCAGAGTTAATTTGGCCGAAGTTAACTGTTCAACAGTGCGATATCTCAATAAAGAATCAATTTCCCAATCACGTGATTTTAACCCCACCAATGGCACCGCCGTCACTCCGTTAATAGATTTCTGAAAATTAATTATTTTTTAAGTCATTTACATTTTAATGAATGTTTGTATATTATATAAAGGATTATGAGATAAAATAAAATATTCTGTCTTGTAAAAATCGTAACGATGTTTAAAGACAAATTCCTAGCATTATTTTGAAAGATAATTCCAATATCACAAAATATGTTAAGATTATAATAATTAAAAGTTTTTGAGTTATAAACAGGCACTAGATATTCATGCTATTTCTCAGCGTACGTGGAGCACCGTTGGCGTGCAAGTGAGTACTGAAATGAAATAACAATGCTTTGTTTATGTTTAGCGAATCGCATGCAATATTGCAGTAGTGCGATATTCGTAATCAGGAACGTAGCATATAGAATGATTTTTTTATAAAAAGGTAAAATAAAAATCCGTCTTGATATCTCATTCAATTTGTACTATAGTGATTGAATCTGGGTAAATAAATTTGAATAATTTACACAATTAAAACAGACTGGAAAAGAAATTAGAAATTACTCTATTTAAAATTAAGTCAATATATTAAAATTTTTTAATATTGTTACCATTTCTGGAATGCCTAGCAATAGTCTGAGTTGTGCCAGGAATGTGCCTACTATAGCAGTTTCTTCGGGAACGACAGTAACAGCTTCATCCTCTCGTGCGCTCTCACAAATCTCGGATGATGGATTAATCAAAATCACGCCACCCCATCTATATCAATTGTACAATGTTAAATGATTGAACTCTAAATTAGTTTCAAAATAATGTATTTGTCGAAAAAGTTTATTTTTATAGAAGATAAATATTATATACATATTATACACACAGTGTAACAAAGCAATTTTCATGCACATTACTTTAATTCTGGACTTTAATTCTGGAAAAGAATTTCCAAATTTATAAAAGTAACATATATATTTAATATATCTATATCATTCTACGAAAATTATTGCGTTTACTTAGTAAAACAGACTTCTTAGTATCCTTTTAAAAAAATCATTACAATAGTAATAAATGTGTGAATCACAAATCAGAAATGAAAGATACCTTGGAGAGAGAAAGGCTTCCACATTGCTATCTGTTCGCGATCTGTGCCCGCTGCGGGTGTAGATATGTAAAGGCGCATTGTCACACGGTACCATATAAACGACTAAATTGATACATGGATGGAGACTAACCTGCGATGCTTTAAAATTTAGTCAGATATGCTAGACACGTATACTTTTTACATGCATTACAAACCTAATTTTTTCTCCAATGGTGTTACAAGTTGTGGCAGGACATTCTCGCGCAAGGCAAAGTGCCTGCGGCTTGGGCTACTGTCGGGTACACGTCTAGGATTCATATCTAATGGTAATAAATACAGCCACTGCGATTTGATAGAAAAGTTACTCAAAATGGACAACTCATCTAGAAACGGTTGCACGTATTCTACAAGAAATTAAATTTTAGTCACAAATGTGAGTTGTATTTTTGTTAACGATTAAATTTGTCGGTATTTAGTAATAATATACACAGTGTATCAAACAGACATTTTTTCTAAAAATGCTTTGTTTTTGAGATATTCGACTATTTTCAAATTGCACCCTATATAGTATATAGATAGTTAATAAAAAGTCATTACAAAGTATTTAAAAAATTATTTAAAAAAAATTTTTTTTAATCTTACGATTTTTCAAGCTACTTTGATATTAAATAGTTATTTATGATATATATATATATATACCTTCAGTTACAGTCTTAAGGTTCCAAACAATCTTCAGCTTTTCAGGATCAGGATTAACCAAAGTGACTAGAACATCATATGCCAGACTGGCTGGAAATCGTCTTCTATTCTCCTCATCTAAGCTATACATGGTAGGCTCTGCGAGCGCATTTTTTGTCAGCGCCAATGATTTATCACGCAGAATCCATTCTGACAATACTTGTATTAATGTAGATATATCTGAAAATACATTGGTATTTATATTATAACATTATAAGAAAATTTCATTACTTTTTTAAATTTATTTTTGTAAAAATATAATTTTATTATATCATATATTATTGTACTCGTAGAAGGGAGTTTTATATCGAAATACTTACATTATAGTAAAAAATTATGCTTTTCTAACATAAATAATTTCTCTCAGTGAATACTGTGCTTACAATAAAGTTTAGTTACAGCCGTTTAATTTGAGTTATTTATTAAGTTTATCTCTGTTAGTTTTTACGGAATAATAAGGGGTGACCACTTCTACGATAACACCATGTATATTTTTTTCATCTCACTTGATATTTTACAGTTTTTACAATACTGCTTGTTAAAATTCTTCATATAATTTTCCAAAATTTTTAAATAAATTTTCGATTTTTATATAATTTAGAAAATTTTTGAGATTTTTTATACGAATTGTAACACATTTCAGTAGTGCTGAGTTTATATTTTTCCTAGAATTTTTTATATATGTAAATTCTGAAATAATTTCAAAATTATAAGATTTTACATTTTGTAATTTCTGAAGAAAATTTATAATATAAAAGCTCAAAAAGTTTAAGATATTTTTCCAAAAATCTTTATAAATATAAAATATGAAAGATTCTTAAAAATGTTATGAAAATTTTTTCGCCCGAAATTTAGCTAAGAATAAGCTAATCATTGATTATATTGCACTTTTAAATCCAGCAGATGCGTAATTGATTCAAGCAAATTGCTTCAATACTAATCAACTTACTAGTTTCGGTGGAGAAATACAACGTTCTCTTTGAGCCAACTAGAACAGCGTCGTTCAAATTTGTCGCTTCGAGCAGTAATAAACCACCCACATCCAAATCGAAAGTCGAAGCCACCTTTTCGAGCTCGTGGTACGTGAAAGCGGATGCCAAAAGATTATTGGAAACTATCTGATATTCTACGTTTAGCTGATATATTTCTGAAAATCAAGGGTTGAAATTAGCAAAAAAATAATATAAAAATTTAACGATATCGATGATTCCTATACAAATTAATTAATAAAACAAGAAAGTGAGAAAAATGAAAGATAGATTCTTAGAAAGAAAAATAGATAGAAGTAAGCTTTATGAGTGTCAGCTGAACGCTGTCAGCTGAACGCTGAAATTAATCATCGAAGGATAAAAGTTCAAAATTAAAAATTTTGCTGAAAAAATTTTTTTTTAATATTAACGTGGGTAAACACAAGTAATTTTATTGTAAAACTTCGTCAAAGTTATTTGAATCTATTCATGCAATATGCATAATATAAATTGTTATTAAATCTTTCGTGATTCGTTTTCACTTACCAGCGTTTTCGAACGTACGTCTGATCTCATGTGCAAGCGATTCGGCGCGATTGTGTGAGAGGGCTGCGACAGTAATCTTTGTAGTGATTTTAATATCCAGTTTCGATAATTCATCAATTCCAGTATAGGGAAGTGTAACACGAGGCACTGTTGTAGTGTGCCACCAGAGAGGCACGCCGATTCCTAGGAGTAATACAGCGAACGACACGCTCGCGTATACTCTGTATTTTTCTGTAACAAAAGATAAAATATAAAATTATATCATATGCAATTACATAATAAGCTAAAATATAAAAATAATAATAATGAAATTCAAGGCTAATAAGAGTCAGCGCTGGATGAGGTTGAACTTGCTTCGCGAAAGAAAACGTACGCCCTAGTCACGAGGGGCGTTTGGGTGAACTTCCCACATGGAAAGTCGTATGACCGTCAGTATATAGCAGAAATATAGCAGAAATTATTAGCATAATTATTTGTTAATAACATTTGAACGAACGTGACCGCCACCTAAATTCTTTTGAAGATCACTCAGGGTCATGATCTTGGTAATATTTGTCAAAATCAAGGTCATCAGCGTGGTGTCCGTTAATTTGAATAATTACCTAAGCCTTTAGACTATCGAAGCTTAATTTAACATAAATGCAATGTATTTATTTAATATAAAAATTTTTGTCCTTACTGTAGAAAAAAATAATATAGCTATATATAAATATATACGTATATATTAGTTCTACAAATTTAATGAATCCGTATTAATATTATAACATTTCCTGTAAATATTCACTCGGCTTTTCTCGAATGCAAAATGTGACAAAAATAAAGAATGTTTCCAGCAAATCACGATTCGGTCAAACAACACACCGTAAGTACTTGAAATTCATCAAAATTAAGACTCAGTAAGTTAATAATAGTTAGCGAATTTTCTACATTGTATATTTTTTTCCTTAGTACATATTTAATTACTGTAACAATAATTTTTAATTATTAGTTTTAAATCTTAATAATTAATTTATTCTATTTCTTATCATTTTTCTATCATACAACTTATCATTTAAAAGCACTAATTAAATTATTAAGTATTTACCAAGAATACTACTTTCTAACTGATTATACATTTAATTAATCATAATTTATTTAAATATTTAATATTAAATGTCTGATATAAATTAAGTCCTCTCTTCGTATTTCATTTTTGAATATTTTTTTCGGAAATAAACAAATAAATGTTTTACCAAACACAACAGAGAAGAGAAGAATGCGTACAATAAATATAATTCGTTTCCGATGTGATTCTTTTGAAACATTTTATTTTGTTTGTATGCAAGTCCACTTCTTTCTCGTAGCAGTGTATTCATTAGGGGAGTTTCATGATGGGGAGACGAAGGAATGTAGATTTTCTTGTTGTTACCTTGATGCCACAGTGCATTTTAGGTCTCCTTCTTGGCAAAACAAGGTGTAATCTACAAACTTGGCTTTTCTAAAAGGAGTTACTTATACATGCATACATCGAACAATATAAAGACTGAATAATACAAAGACAGAATAATATAGAATAACACAGAAATTTAGATTTCATTTATGTTTTTATTGTTTTTCTTACTTATACATATGTAAGTAATTTTTTATATATAATAACAATAAAATAATTACTTATTTCAAAATACTAAAAGAATTGGAGAACTTTCACAAAACAGATATATACATAAAATTTTCATTCTTCTACTGTTCAAAAAAATAACAAAAAATATAAATATAAAAAAGCATTAATCCTTTGTGAATAAAATTTTGAAGCATAAATGTCAAGATCTATTGAAAAAAACAGTAAATTTTGACATTTATACTTTAAAGTTGTTTTAAAACGAACAATGAGAAATAATAACACGTATCTTTATTATTTTAATGAACTATTTCATCCAATGTGAATTTTTATTCGAGGACAAAGGAATTTTTACAAATTGAACACCGAACAATAATTGACTGAATGAAAAGTTAACTACTCTTTATTAATTCATGCACAGAAAAGTATGTATTGATGTCAGAAAGCAACTATTTTATATGACAATAATATAGCGTTATCTATCAAAAAATGGTTAGGATTATTAGATAAGACGATTATTTAACAAGAGATTTTCTCTTAAGGAGACAATTAATTACGTGCACTGATAAAGACTTTGTAAATCGAAATGTTTGCGCGACATTGCGGCATTATATTTATTAGAATAAAGTAATCGTTAATTTATAAATCAACCAATCATTGTTCGATTATAAGTCACGGTTGAATATAAATGTAACTGTACGAAATATAATGTAACTGTACGAAATATAAATACGAAATATAACTCGTCCAACTACGGAAATATTCATTTATGTTTATATTATTATAATAACAATTAATGTTATCAAATATCACTGATCTTTTAAAGATGTATGAGTCACATCTCAAAACATTACCAAAAATATAAAAATTTCATAGATTGTTCCATTATTACATCTGAATATCTATGTAAAATTTCAGCACAATTTTCTTATTAGTTTAAAACTTTGGTTTAAAATTTTCTTATTTGTTTAATCTTGTTAATTTTGATTCTTATATATGTAAAATTGTGTAATACTTATTTGCAAATTTGATGAGGAAGTAACATTAAAATTTAAATTAAATTTTACGCATATATTGATCAAACAATTATATATATGCAAAAGTTTATTTGGATCCACATACGCGTTAAAAATTATTTTAAAATAACTAAAATTGCAGAAAAATAATCATTTTGCTGCATAAAATCATTACAAATCAAATTATTTGTTGTTTTTTTTTTGTAGTTGGTTTCAAAACACATTCATAGGCTAATATCAAAATTTTATGAATATTAGTACAAAACAAATGCGCACTACGCGCGCATTATTTAGCATTTGACACTATTAAACTCCACTGTACTATAATTTTTTTTTGTCAAAATCCATACGCTTACTTCATGAACGACGTAACAGTTATAAATACAATAATAACCGTTCACGAAGTAAACGCATGGAGAGAACCAATCAGCATCACGAAAAAGAGACAATAATATATTTCGAGAGATTCGAGACATTCGATGTTAACATGGACTTTTTTAAATAGGAATGTTGGCTAATATTAGCTTATTTTGACTGATATTTTTAGCTGACATTGTATAGCCAAAACATCCTCAAACAAATTTTTGTTCTTACAAATAAATAAACTATATACTTTTAATTCATAAAAATAAAATAAAATATTTCATGCACAATTGATAATTGATTTATATTGTTATGTTTATTGACCCCTTCAAACCTGATTTTATTTTAGAACCAAATTAAAAAATTTTTTTAATTCAATTCACGCGCATTTTGATAAGTAATTCATACTAAATAATTAATTTTTTTTCCAAAATTTTAACTATTTTTCCAACATATACATTATTCATCAAATCTCACATGACGTCGATGGAATTAAATAATTTCAACGAATAATATCTCCAAGCCTGATGTATATTACATATACGCAGGGTTTGAAGGTATTAATATATTGATATATCAATTGTTACATTATATTGTATTTTTATGTTCAATTGTTATATTATTTAATTATAAGTTTTATTTCTTGTGCAATAAGCAGAGATATAGAATGTCTTTAACCTCAGATTTTTTCCACTCTTCTCATACTTACAAGTAATAATAGTATGTTTAATATAAAGTATATTTATTTACAATACATTTGTTTAAATCATATCTTCTTTTTCTTCTTCTTCTTCTTCTCTCTCTCTCTCTCTCTCTCTCTCCCTCTCTCTCGTTCCCCTCATCCTCTGATGAGGGCAATAAATTTAAACTCATTAATTTAGACAATTTAGATCGCAACATGCACTACAAATTAAGGTCTGAGAAAAACAAAGAATTCTTTTACTATATGTACAGTGTATGAAATAAATATTCAATAAACATAAATAATATGTTGACATAATTTTTGAAGATGTACTTTTCTTGCATTATCACAATTAAGAATTTAATTTTTCAAATACCAAAGTCTTAGAACTTTTTCCGGATCTTTTACTCAATGTTTTTAGTTCTAATCTAATATGAAATCTCAAAAATAGGTTTAAAATAAAATTTGAAATAAAACAAAATTTATAGCTCTCTTTAATATTAAAAATACTGCTCTCTATTATTTATAAAAAAAATTTTTTTCAAGAGATAATTTCGATAAAAAATTCTTGAGTTTTGATAAATTTTCTCAATTTCGGTAAAAAAAAAGTTTCTAAGAATCCCACATCTCCTAAATTTTTCTAAGGATTAGAGAGATTATTCATTTTTAATTTGATAATGTCACAAATATTATAATTATCATTAACGTTATGTCGTAATTTCACAAAATACAAAATATGAACACAACATCAAATACATACTATAGCAGACTGAATATATTATAAAATGTTAATTCAAAATACCTCTGATATTAAAAAGTACCGTTTCTGTTATTTTTAAATAGAGAATCCAGAATATCCGGAAAAAATACATTTGGATTTATATTGGAAAAATTTATAATTTTTTGTTTACTAATTAACGAAGTATTTATGGTATAAAATAAAATAAAAACTAAATATTTGATATTTTGATAAATTTTCATATGTCAATAAAGAATTGTAAATTTTTCGACGTCCAAGAAAATCTCTTGAAAGTGTTGTCCATTCGTTAATAGGCCAGATTTAAAAAAAAACAAATAGACATAATATATAAAAAAAATTGTAACAATCTCATCTCGAGAGGGAGCAGACTAAATAAAACAGAAAGAGAAAGAAGAAGAGGAAAAGAGAAAGAGGGAGGAAGAAAAAGGAGGGGAAAAAAGATGAAGAGGAAAGGGGAAAGAGGAGGGAGTAGAGGAGAGAATGCGCTAAAGGAGAGGAGGAATAAAGTCTGAATTGAAGCCTTAATTCTGCGTGCCTTGGACCTGGACGGTCAGTACGAATGAAACACAACGTCGAATACCTCGGGAAACTCCGAGAAGCGATCGTGGCGAGAGTGAAAAATTTACAAAAAAGCGTATTACAAAATTAAGTAAAGCCTCGTGATATTATAAATAAGACTTCTTGAAATATAGCAAGACTTATTGTTGAAATTTATAAGCAATCTTATTGCTGATAAATTTTTATTAGTGATGACAATGTGATTGTTATCCCCTTATCTCATCGAATAAACAATTATTTCAAATTAAGCAATTATTTCTTATCTCATTGAATAGGCAAATGTTAAGTATATAACGACGTAAAGTCACATATTTATGCGAATATTTATGGCTTAAAGTGACGAAAAGGAGTGTATCAAATTGGATGGATCACATTGCACAAGATATTTAAATAAAAGTACGTGATAATTTAATTTAGAAATAATTAAAAATAGGAGTGTAGTACAATTAGATGTACGCTCTCGGCCAAAAGTTTGGAAACACTTGCGATCTTTTCACATTTCATGAGAAGTTAAATATCTCGGTGAAAAAAAATCAAAAGTTTTCGATCACGCATTTTAAAGTACAAAAATACGGCCTTAAATCTATACGTTTGAATTTTGGTTACGATAATTTTTCGCAAAGATATCGAATTTTTTATCGTGTAATGCGAACCAATCGCAAATGTTTTCAAACTTTTGGCCTGGGGTGTAATTGCAACCAATATTATATTCACTTACATATTACTAATATATTTGCATTATGTGAATTACTATTATTAATATATTTGCAATATATTATGAATATATGTTTAATACTTTTTATATTTCATCAATCTGAAATGTTTATGTTAAGATATTTACAAATATTGTGACTATTTTCCTAATATTCATAATACATTAATTTTCAAACAATATGCCTACCTACACTTATACATATTCGAAAACTGTCAAAAATGTCAAAATTTTTCTCACTACAGATATACATTTTATGTAATAAATTTTAAAATATTTGTAATGAATTTTAAAACAAGAGACTGGGGCCGCTTATACGGGGCTGATTGTCAAAAAACTAATAGCTCAATATATGACACAACACTCTCTTTTTTTAATGTAGATCGCTGATTAATATTAAATTGTGTAAAAAGCGTATATTATTTATTGTAGTATATTTGTACATTACTTACGACGACTTTTAAGAAAATAAAATTGGTAAGTAAATTTTTTTATCTCCTTTTTTTCTTTTCTTATTAGTTTTTTTTACATTATCAAACACGATTCCTGTAATTATAGATAGAAAACGGTATGTCTTAGATAATTTTTGCTGTAGTTAGTTAATCATTAGTGTAATAATGCTTGTGAATATGTAATTTATTTTTACTCTAAAATGGTGATGTGGGACAGATTGATTAAAATAAGCCAGGATTAGGTGAAAGACAATTTTAATCTCTTTAAATCGACACGTTTTTGAAACATATTTACAAATATATCATATATAGATATATTTTTTATTTTTCGTATAGAAACTAGTACGAAAACAAATTACGTATTTCATGATTAAAATTATTAGTTTACCTTTCAATACTATAATTATATACTTTTATTTCCTGAAATATAGAACTGACATTAAAATAAAAATTATATTTTTTTATGCTATATTCATGTAAAATATATTTCTGCCAAGAACGTGTAACAATCAATACTGAGTGCAAGGCTAATTTTTGCAGCTTTGTTTAAAATTTAATAAGTTATTTGTACGGCGATATATTGAAGAGTAATATTTTTTTAATTACCTAAAAATATAGATGTATTATAACGTATATAATAAATTCAAAATCTTACCACTTTTTTCTAAAAATCATTATTGAAAAACTGACAACCAGCCTTGATTTCCCCTATATTAATACAAATTTATACATATACTTAGAGATCGAAAAAAATAGAAAAATATTTTGCTTAAAAAAATATATATATATAATCTAGATAAAAGATCCCAACTTCTGTGGTGTTGTATAAATTTAAAAAGCTATAACAGGATACTTACATGTTCCAGTATTTTTATAACCGTTAAATTACGTTTAATCGTTATACATTTTTTCGTTATTTTAGCAAGACCAAATTTTTTTCTCACAATGTGGTGTCAAGTTTCACAAATTTTTGCTCGCAAAAGAAAAAGAAATGAAGAATAAAGCAAATTGCTTTGTCTTCTATTTTTATATATGTAGATGACAGCGTCGCGCCTCTTTCAATTCAAATGAATTCTTCTATATGCGAATGCATCGGGGACAACGAGAAGAATTTAACTTCTTGTAATCTGTAGAAGTTAATAATCCGCGTCGTATAGGTTGTGCTACATTACATGCAACGTATAACGGCATATCGCGTGCATTGCACGCATCGCGAGCATCGCTTGCGGATGAATCAAAGAAAAGAATTTGATTACAATAGAATGATTGGACATGATAATTCATGTTTCAATTGTACATACATCCTGATTTTTAAATCTATCCTTTTTTTAATCTATCGCAAACGTGTGTAGAATATATTATACGATTATGATATCAGAAATTAGCAAAACTGCAATAATATAACAAGATTTTAAGATATTTTAATAATAAAAATTAGAAAAATTTAATACAATTCACATTTATTAATAATTGTATTTTTTTTAATTTATATAAGAAGATAATTCGACAATTTAAAAAAAAATTCTTTTATATTTATAATTGTGTCTAAATTATTTAAAAGAAATATCATATATGATATCAAATAATTTAGACACAATTACTTTTCACAATTGTGTTATTTTTTGAAATTCTGCGATTTGTATATTAATATTAAAATTTCCTTAAAATACTTATAAATAAAATAGAATATTTTATTTTTAGGAGTTAAAATAAGCAAAATATAATTTATGATATGTATAATGTTACAAGACAAATGCAGTAAAAAATAACAATGATGAGTGTGCGATTACCACTATCGCTAATTTTATTTGTATCATTTTTCTGTTGTTCTATATTTAATGCGTCTTAAACTGAGAGCGAGGAGCAGGCTCACACACTTTTATTCGTCGTCACTCAACACGGCATTATGAATTTTTCTTCAATGATTTTGCCAATTTTTGGACGATTAAAATGATCTTCATCATTTATGGACTATATTTAAATTCAATAGTCCATTTCTCTCTCTCTCTCCTCTCTCTTAACAGTTGAAAACAATGGTAAAGATTCTTTCAAAGTTGAATCAAGCTTATTTTTTTATGTATGTTGATACTAAACCTTATAAAACGTATTTTATAACTATATAATATTTGGTTTTATCTATGTATTAAAAAAAAATAATAAAAGTTTGTTGCTTTACATAAGTGAAACAAAGAAACTAATAAGCATATTTGTTTGAAATTTTAATAATAGCCTTCTGCAAGATCAAATTTGTCAAAAATTATAATAACAATTTGATACTTCTGGCGTCAGGTCAAGAATTTTTTCGAACTACCTTCATATAGTAGCATAGATGTTATCCAAAATAAAAAGGTTTATTTAATATACACACACATTCTTTCGGTCTCACCCTCTCCCTTCTCTCTTTCTCTTTCTGGAAATCATTTTGGAAAATATAATAACATTTACATTCAAATAAAACGTATAAAGTCGTAATAGATATGGAAAATAGAGTAGAAAAATAATAAATAATGAAAAAACTTAATACATTAAATTAATCAACACAGTAGCGTTAATAAATTTATCGAATATGTGTATAAAGTGATGAATATGTCCGACTTCACTAATAATGTTGGAAATACAGGTTGAACTAGCAGTGAATCTATTTCTGTCGGTGGTTTTTCAAAGCGTTCAGCTATATTTGTTTTACACGAACTTAGCTTCTATAGCATGCACGAACACGCGCATAGCATTTGCACATACGATAAAAAAGTAGATAATATCCAATTTCCGTTTTTAAATTAACATTATTCCAAAATAAATTTATATTAAAATAAATTTATTTTAATTAATGCAAAACTCTTAAGCAACGTGTTATTTAAAAAATTTTGAAGATTTTCATTAATTGGACATTATATACAATGTCCAATTAATGAAAATCTTCAAAATTTAAGTACTTCAATATTAACAAAAAAGTGTGAAAATAAGAGTCATTTTACTATATAATATTATAGTATTATAATATTATATGGCCCTAAAAACGATTATAATATTATAATACTATAGTTGTTATAATATTATAGTTATTTTGGGCTAACTATACATTTTTTGTGTAGAATTATCAAGAGATACAGTATATGTATACATGATATACCTGCAGATGTAAGACAGTCTCTTTTGATAAAGGAGAATGTTAAATTAGGATTGTTTTTCGGCCAAAATGAAAAAGTTCCAAGATGTACAAATTATACATCATATTAAATGGCTACTCAAGTGGAGTCGAATAATATATTGCGTATCTTGGAGAAGGGAACATGAAAGAAATCGTAATGAAAAATTTTATCATATTTATGCTATCACATTTATTAAAAAGATAAGAAAAAATAATACAAGAATTGAGCAATTTTTTTATTATATTGTATATAAGAATTGTATTATTTAAACAAGCAAACGAACCTTTTTGAGAAGAATTCCGCAAAACTATAATTTGATGCTATAATTATAACGCATAAGTATAACGTAATAAAATACCATTATTGTATTCACTGTGGCACTATTTTGATATAATCTCTATACGTATACCGAAGGCATAGTAGGAATAGAATACGCAGGCGTATTACTAGATGCTTTTAATGCTTGTAGAATCATTTCATCCTTGTTTAAAAAACAAGGACAAATGATAGTTGCGAGCGTTACGAGCGAGTGGAACGCAGCCCTAATAAAAACATGAAAAGTGTCATCGTTTTTTTTTTATATACTTTTAATATCTCTAACACCTTTAATATGTTATCATATATCCAGTTACTACCATATATCCTGAAGAAATAAGTAGTATTTATTGAAAAAATTCTATATAATCACTTTTTTAGATCTAAATCTAAGAATTTCAAAGGCGAATTTTCCCATGATTCTGATATTTTCTCAAGATACGCGATATACCATTCGAATCCGCTTGAGTAGCCGTTTAATATGATATATAACTTGTACATCTCAGAACTTTTCCATTTTGGCCAAAAAAACGGCCTTAACTTAACATCTTCCCAATATATATAGTTAAAATGTCAAGGCTTTTTTAAAAGCTTGTATTTCCTTACGTTAGATCAATTACGAATAAGATTACTAATATAATAAATAAATCAAAAACTATGATAGGATATCGATGTCTCAACAAATTGAATAAATTTATAAAGACACAAAAAGATAAAAACCAACATCAAGAAAATAATAATGTAATTTATAAAATCAATGGCAATAAT